ACCTGGGGGTCAAACACTTTCGATACATGCTGGAGGCGCGCGCGTTTGTGATCTACACGGATCACAAACCGTTGATCTACGCTTTTCGTCAACGACCAGAGAAGAGCACGCCGCGCCAGTTCCGCCACTTGGACCTCATCGGGCAGTTCTCAACCGACATCCGGCACGTGACGGGCGAGGAGAACGTCGTGGCGGATGCGTTATCACGAGTCGAGGAGCTGGATTCTCCCCTGGACTACGCTGCACTGGCGGAGTCGCAGGGGACTGACAAAGAGCTCGACGATTATACAAGGCGAGAGACCGGAATAAAACTCGAGAAGGTGCAGATTCCCGGAACGGGGATACAAGTCTACTGCGATACGACGACATCGACACCGCGACCGTTTTTGACAAGACCCTTTCGGCGGGCCGCATTCAACTTGGTGCACGACCTGGCACACCCAGGAATCAAGGCGACGGGCAGACTCGTGGCGCAGCGCTACGTCTGGCCGTCGATGAACGCTGACTGCCGCAGCTGGGCGCGTGCATGCGTGCCCTGTCAACGTTCGAAGGTCACTCGACATGTCTCGGCGCCATTAGGAAGATTTGCAGTACCATCGAGCAGATTCGAGCACGTACACCTGGACATTATCGTGATGCCCGTCTCAGAGGGCATGCGATACTGTCTCACGTGCGTGGACCGCTTCACACGGTGGCCGGAGGCGTTCGCACTACGAGACCAGGAGGCGGAGACGGTCGCAAGAGCATTTTACGAGGGATGGATTTGCAGATTCGGGGCGCCCGTGCGAGTAACAACGGACCAGGGGCGCCAGTTCGAGTCCCATCTCTTTCGACGGCTGAGCGAGATGACAGGAGTACAGCACCTGAGGACGACGGCGTACCACCCGCAGGCCAATGGCATGGTCGAGAGGTTGCATCGCCAGCTCAAGGCGGCAATCAAATGCCGGCAGAATGATCGCTGGACGGAGGCGCTGCCGACGGTGCTGCTCGGGATCCGAGCAGCGTGGAGAGACGACCTGCAGGCGACCGCAGCGGAGCTGGTGTACGGCCAGACGCTGAGGATCCCGGGGCAATTCCTGAGTCGACGACCTGTGGACAGCGAGGACGACGCGGCCGACTTCGCAAGGACGCTGAGGGAGCAGTTCGAGGAGCTGCGACCGGTGGACGGCACCCGACACGGGGAGCGACGGCCGTTCATTTACAAGGACCTAGCGACGGCCGAACAGGTGTTCGTGCGACACGAGGGACCGAAAAAGATGTTGCAGGCGCCGTACGAGGGGCCGTACGCAGTCATCAGCCGAGGCGACAAAGTCTTTGTCGTGCGTATGCACGGCAAAGAGAAAACGGTCTCAATAGACCGTCTTAAACCGGCTTATATTTTACAGAGCGAGCCAGAAAACAACAGCCCGGCAGAGTCGACGGCACGAGACCGGGACACCGAGGTCGAGCAGCGAAACGCGCGAGAGGACGCGAGGCCGCTGCCCCGAGAGAGCCAGAGAACAACGAGAGCGGGAAGAAAGGTCCGATTCCCGAGTCGTTTCCAGGCGGGCCTGTAGCACCAGGGAGCCAGGATGTGCAGCAAACCCGTGAGAAATCACCGCGAAACGGAAATATTAAAAAAAAAAAAAAAAATTTTTTTTATACGGTTCGCGACTCTTTAATTTTTTTGACTAGCATTCGCGATTTCAAATTTCTTTGATTTGTGTTATCGTTGAAAATTTATGTATACACGGCAACAGCGACTTAAGCCGCGAAAAGCGAAAAGGAAAATTTGACGCGTATCGAGAACTTGTATATTCTGTATTTTATATTTATTCTTGTAATTTTAATGGACGAGTCTCAGACCGAGAGCGACGAGCGACAGAACAACGTTAAGTACAGCGAAAATTCTTCACGTATAGGTTGTCGGTATTTATTAGCATTTATTTATTATATTATTGTTATTTATTATTATTTATTTATTATTTTTTTTTTTTTGTCACGTCATATTTATTCGCGACTTGGCGCTCGAATTTATAACGGCGAGCAAATGGTAACATTCGTCTCGGTCTGCCATCGAAAAAAAAAAAAAAAAACTTTTGCGAAACAGTGCATCACGCAAACGTATCGTGCTATCGGTATAGCACTGGCGGGGGAGTACTGTGGCGATTACATCGTCACATACTTCCCTGAGATTAATAAGGAAAACACGCATACGAATACGAACACTGACATATACGAAAAGGACAAAGGCACAAGTAAATATAAATAAAATATTACAGACGAGACGAAAGACGAGTAGGACAGAAACGAAGAAATAAAAATAGATGGAAAATTCGCGAAGCCTCTCGAAGCCTAGCGAAGGGCGTTTTAGGAGGCAAGATATAAATAGGAGATTTTTAGACAACGAGATATATACCGTCTTCGATAGTCGCCGCGCACGGACGCATTACTTATTTAATCCGAGCGAATCAAGTTTATGTATTCACGCGTACCACTTGTCTTGAAGAATATATTCAATTAAGTACAATCATTGCATAACTTTAATTAATTCCCGCATCGTTCCTCCTAAGCACTCACGACGCGCGTATATAACCAAAAGATTATACAATCGTCGCCACTTTTTCACCCTTTCTTTTAGCGGCGGGAACGTTGCCAAGAGCCGGCGACTGCGAGCTTTCTTTGCTCTTTCTTGCAAGAATTAAGTGTTTTATTGCCCCCTAAGAAAAATCTCTTCTTCTTACATATACATTTATTTTCAATTCAAATTTTTGTTTTATTGAGATTTTATATTATTAATGCCGCGCTTAAGCGTTGTATATTCTTATTCGGTTCTATTTCTTTGAACTAAACGGAAATAAATATGATAGTTTCTGTTTTATCTTGAAATGAAATATTCTTCTCCGACGTAGAACCAAGTTAGAAATGCGAAAGAAAATTAATTAAATAATCTCAAAGACTTTTCATGCTTTCTTATTTGAGCACGTAAATTAATAGAAAGCAGATCTAATTTGAAATAGACAAATCGTATACGAACCCGATGATTCAATTTTTTGAAATATATGCATGAAAAAAGAATTAGCCATCGTAGCTAAATTTTAGCTATATTACAACCTGATATTTATGGTAACTAATATTTTTTAGTTATAGTTAAAGGGAGAATTCTATAGCTAAAAAATATTAGCTATCATAACTAAAATTTAAGCATGATAATTAAATTTCATGTGTAATATAGGGACAGTTAAAATTTAGCTATATAGTAGCTAATTTCTTTCCGCGTAATAATAAAAATTAGAAAAAGAAAAAAAAAGATTTCAAGATTTGAAAAAAAGGAGTACACTAAAGAAGATAAAGAGTAACAGATACTCCATTGAGAGAGAAAAGAGTCGAACGGAATTTTTCTGGATGTTGCGATTAGCTATGTGATTAGCTCTTCTCTTAATGGATATTTTGTTAGACCCGCAGGAACTCTACTTAACCCCATTACTTATAACATGATCATTCTTTCTTTTACGAAATTACGACTATACCGTCGTGTTTCAAGCTGATAATCAAACTAACAAAGCTATTTATATGAAATTTAAATTTATATATATATATATATATATATATAATAAGATAATTATTTATCGTTTTGTAATATTTAACAAAATTTTTCTTCAGTTTTTGTTAAAATGTTTAATTATATTAGGCCGAAAACGATCTTACACATCTCTTTTCACGTAATTATATATACGTATATATGTATATGTACATATTTACTTACACAAAAAGAATTTTCTCTTAGAATTTATCTTGAAAATCATGGTAATCGTGGGACAATGTGATATTAGAATTGTATAAAAGAATTTTATGAGTTTGTCTGATTAAATATTTATCACAATAAAAAATATATTAATATAAACCAAAATGAGATATAAAATATGTCTAATATGTACATAGAGTAAAATTAATCCAACATATTTTATATCTTATTGTGGTAAATTTAATATTTTTTTATTGTGATAAATATTAATTAGAGAAACTTTAATAAAATTCTTTCAATACTATATTGTCTCACATTATCATAATTTTCAGAATAAATTCTAAGAAAAAATTCTCTCTGTGCAAGTGAATATATATACATGTATATAATTACATGAAAATAGATCTATAAGACTGTTTTCGCCCAACATACATAATTAAAAATTTTAAGTAAAAAGTGCAGAAAAATTTTAAAATATTACAATACAATAAAATATTATAAGAGTTTTTCTGATTAATATGTACCACAATAAAAAATATTAATACCTACCACAATAAGACATAAAATATGTGTACTATGTACGTACTAAAATTAATCGAACATATTTTATATCTTATTGTGATAGATTTAATATTTTTTTATTGTCGTAAATATTAATTAGAAACTTTAATGAAATTTTTCCACTAGTATATATTGTCTCACGTTATCATAATTTTCAGAATAAATTCTAAGAGAAAATTCTATCTCTGTGCTAGTCATATGTATATATACATATTTAAATATTTATTAACATACATATATTGTCTGCTTGTGTAGATGCATGTGTATGGTCTTTAAATTAGACATATTTTTAAATATATATTAAAACTATATATATATATAATATTATATATTATAATAATATTATAAATATTTATAATGTTATAAATAACATTAAAAAAGTAATATTATAAATATGTAATATTTTATATATGTATATATACCTATAAGATATTATTGCGCGCGCATACAACATATATTATTGCGTATATGTGTATGTTTTATCAGAAGATAGATCAATGCACTTTTATGCAGCGATGAGTAATGAACAGCGTGCTGCCATCTAACGTTGTCTTTCGATATTACATGCATCTTCTCTCTCTCTCTCTAAGAGAAATTTCCGTAACAAGTAGAGACAAATTATAAAATAATAAATCATCAAATGTTCATACAGAATAATAAAATTCAATAAGTTCTTGATTGATAACGCGCCATTTTTAACAGCGCATTCTTTCGATATGTTAAATAAAGTGTATTCATATTATTGCTTTGCTTATGAGGCACAATAAAATGCGCCTAACCACACAAGAAAATAATGCGCAAATATGCTGCACATATTATATTTGATATCCGAAATCCGTGTTTTTCGTTGATGTTTTATATGTGTAAAAACGCAGAGCGTAATACATCATACATATAGACATTTTATAAAACGAGAGAATTTCGATGTTTTGCTCACCGGATTCCGGCACCTCACTCGAATAAACATACCGTTGTTCATCACAGCATGAGGCCAAGATGGAATCCGTAGCTGCATCCTTTATTTTTCCGTTGAGAGAAAACCCTGTGTTAATAAAAAAAAACCGTTACTCTCAACAAAAGACACTTTCCCTGAAGGAATTTTCTGTGTAAATTTTCTACCTTTTGTTCGAGCCACAGTCGAATTGTTCCTCGAAGATCCTACGGGGGCTCCGACCAATCGCTTCGCCTGTCGGTGACGTTATGCGCGCCTCCGCTGCTCGATGCGCGCACGCGCGACCTATCGATAGCCGTCACCGGCGCGAAGTTGCCGTCGAAGCGCGCTCGACGACAACTGCGCCTCCAGTGGAGAGTCGTGGAAGTTTCAGTAGCTCGCCATGTTTTTTACTGAGTGGGGTGTGTAGAAGAGGCCGGGTGAAAATCATCTCTCGAGAGGCATGCAGGTACGTTGACGAATTTCGAAGTTACCGTATTATCGAGGCGAGGACGCAGGTACGGATTCGCGCGTCGACGTTTTCGCGCGTCGTCTCGTTTCGCGGCTGACCGCGAGTTTTGCCGTGTAACGTCGCGTTTCGCAACGTCGTCACATCATAGGCTCTCGCACGGGCTCGTGCGTTCCGGGCAAGGAGGTATGACTCAAGCTCGGACTCTATAGTGCAATCGGCAAGGTTATTTGCATTACATATATATATAAATATCCGTCCCTTTGCCAACAAGTCGCGCGCGGGGATATGCAATTGCGTTGCTCGCCTAAATTTGCGCTCGTTCATTCTGTCTCTTTCTCTCTCTCTCCCTTTATCTTGTTCGTTCTCGCTTCCTCCATCTTTCTCTTCCTCTCTCTCTCTGTTTCTCGAACGCGCGCCGTGCCTCATGGCGAAGATAACTACGAGAGATCGATGTATATATTGCGTTTTGTTGCACACATCTGCATATCTATAGATAGATAGCACGTCTCTTTGACAGCGGTCACAATGGTCTCGGACATGTGTAACGTCGCGATGCGCGATTCTATTTGCATATGCGCTGTATGACTTCTGGACCTTGGTCTTTGTTTCTCTCCGCCTCCTTCTCGATGCACGTTGGCAAAATTTATTATTCCGTGCACTGTGGTGTATACAGTGGAGGTTGTCTATATATGGCGAGACTGACGTGTTCTTTAAATAGATATAAATAATGTTAGTACAATATGTTAAATTTTAGTTTGTTATATTAAAATTGCGTTTTTATACAGAATATTAGAATTGCAAAAATTATCAGAAATAATGATCTAATATAAAGATATATAAATAAATTTATATGTGCAGAGACATTGTAAATTTTTATAGATATAATTTAATTTTCTTAATGGAGCAATTTGTGTAACGAGTTATAAAATAATATTGGATTTAATATTAAATTTAAATATAATACTAAAAAGAAACAAATAAGTATATATTGTAAGTGAATAAGATAATATTACTTGAATTTTAATATTAAACTGCATGTAATATTGTACTAAAAACTATATCTATTAATTGTCACTGAACTAAATGTATTATTTAGCGAAGCAATTATTTACATCATTTTTACTTGTTAATTTTCAGTGTCAAAATGGGAAGGAGACTATACTTGTTATCCTTCACTAAGACCTGCCAGCCTCACTTCAATGATATACCCACCACCCATGCACAAGAATTAAAAATTTTTAAACAACGTAACAAACTCTAAGAAACAATAATCTTTCCGGGCAATTAGAAACTTAATGCGAGAAAAATTAAAACAAGAAGTGAAGAAAAACGTTTGATAAGCCCGTTTGATGATAAGTCCAAGCGTTGTGGTGGTGGATTCTATAAAATTGAAACATTAAAGGACAATAATAAAATACCTTACTGTACATAAGTGAGTTTAAATTTATATAGATTTTAAATATTGTTATTGACTAATGTTGGCTCTCCGTTATGAAATTGTGATATTATAAAATGAATGTAATCCATGAATGACGATTCTAATTTTTTGTAGGAGAGAGGATGATCACCCTGGAGGTAGTGGAGTTGGTTAGAATTTCTGGGTCTAGGAGGAGATTTATCAAGAGGGAATGAGGAATCCGGCGGCATTGCATTTGATCGGGATAGCGGCATCCCCTGGAGGAGGTGAAGTTTTTGGTTCGCGGGCCGAGGAGGAGTTGCGCCAGTGGCTCGAAGCACGCCTGGACGCATTGGGGATTGACCCTGTTGCGTACTCGCGTTTGGTGCTCAGCCTATTGCGCCGCCCCGACTCGGCCCTAAGTCCTCCAGAAGAGGATTTTGCAACTGAGTTAGGTACTAGGAGCACAGGATGTCGCATACGTGTCCGATTTAAAGCAAAGCTGCCAACACATGGTGACGGGGAGCAACGCCGAACTGTTGTGCAATATCTGACAAGTGCCGCTGATGACGTGAGTTTAAAATATAATTTCCGCTAAAGATATATAAAATCACAAATTTCTATTTTCTAAATTTCGTTACAATTATGTAAAAAAATATTTCTTCTGCATATAGAAAAACGGAGTGGAAACGCTGGTTGATGAATTGTGCATAAAACTAAAAGAATTGGAGGGAGGAAGTTCGCGTAATGAGAAAGAAGAATCTAAGAAATCTAGTGATGAACCAAAAACGAATTTAGAAGCACTCACACCTCGTGACAGAGCTCTCAGATACTACGCAGCATTCCCAGCTTTGCAGTCTGCATCCATCAAAAAGTCTCCGCATAAAAATTTTGCCAACAGTACCAATAATAAAACCATTACCATTGGAATTAATTTCCACAATAATAAAAATAACAGCGCTCGCAATAAAAAAACAAAAATGTCTATTAATCTTGTAAGTATTGTTTCTTTATTTGTTTTTGAAGCTTTAGTTATGTAGTAATTTACCACTACAGTAAATTATTTTTTCCTTTTTTAGTGTATTGAAACACAAAGATCAGAAGATAAAGAAAGTTTTGG